GAGATACAGCACACTGATTGTCAGTGATTTACAGAATATACTGCATCCTGTGGACTATGTAGTCAGCACTTCCTGTGTATTCAAATGTCTGCACTAAATTTGGTCATTCTCTTTAAAACTATACCTGTTCCTATATGTTCCATTAAAATTTTTCTTAAACCTTCTCATGTTCCATACTGTCTTTACACTATGCTTTATACTCTCTCCTCCCCTTTCCCACAATTATGATAGGTGGATTATATTTGTCACCTATATTTCCCCAATACTCATTCTTCAACCCCCTCCACCTGTATTGTTTCTGCCTCCAGCCCTCTATTTAGAGGTAATAAGTGGAGCCCTCATTAATGCCAATAGAAGGGTCCCTGTCACCAGCTAATGTCAAGAACATTTTTCAACCCTTGTTTGGTTGGTCAGAACCAAACTATTTAACAACTCTGCTTTTTTTCCTAAAGAAAGTGATCCATGAGACCTCTAAAAGTTCTTCAACAGAAAAACAGAAAGTTGGTTTCTGGCTTTGGTTCCTGAGCAATTAAACATTCCTTAGGGATGCCCTCTAACTTTTAAGTCAGACAGAAGAAATAATTGTTTCTCTTTGGAGGAAATAAATTCATCTCCCACCTCTGATGCTTGTACAGACACTAAATCAGGTATCTTTGCTCCCCATGGGGTCTGAATTGTATGGAGAGTAAAAGACACTAGAATGATTGATTTAATGAGGAGCTCTGAGAATTCAACCCTGGAGATGCTAGAAACTTTAAGCGTGTTCCTTTTGCCATTTTTCTTAATTCTCTGGTCCCAGCCAAATAAAAGCTCAATTGGGCTTCCCAGGGACAGACCTTGCAGAACAGGAAGCTTCAGGGATATCCTGCAGAGAAGGTCATTTTATTCCATCCAGTAAGGGCTGTTGGAATGAAAGGGAAATGAGACAAAGTGGGTACTGGGCTTTACCTCTGGAATAATTAGACTGGGACAGTCCTGTAGTATATAGTTTATGACAAGGAAGTCCCTGTACTTTGAAGGTACTTCAGTTTCCCCTGAAACCTGTCTTTTCAAGCCTTTGTTCTGTCCTTCTCTCTCTTTTTGGAATCTAGAGGTCTCTATAAAAAGAATTGTTTTCCATAGAATCTCCACCTCTTTTCCATAATTGTAGACTTCTCTTGATTTGTTTGTTTTCAATCATTTATTCATTAACTACTCACTGAATATCTACTCTGCATAAGGTATTGTCTATTTTGCTCCTAATGTGATTGGGTATCTTTATTGCATTTCCTAACCTTTTTGCAGCAGATCTGACTCACTGATACCACGTAATCATTCTATATTGATGGTATTGTTGTTTCACCTTAGTGTCCACAATAGTATCTACAAATAATGTAATTATGTCTGATGTTCAGTATTCAGGCTAATTTTCTTTCCTCATCTTACTTGTCTCTTTAAATGTTCAGCAGAATATCAAGTGATTGAATATCAATGAGTTGACTTCATTGGTCTCTTCATAAATTTAACCCAAATGTTTTAGTGAGTAATGTAGAATATTCTGTTGTCTGCAGTTTTAAAACAACTAGTCTTTATTGAGTTAAGAAATTGCCATTGGTTTCCTTATTAGGCAAGAGCTTTGAAGATTTCTTTTTGTGTGTTATAGTTGACACTTTGGTCTCAAATTTTATTATATGCCTAACATTTGTATACGTTGAGCATATGCCAGGCACCAGATAGATCCCTGGAACGACTGACCATGGTAAGCAAAAACAATTACAATTTCTAACCCACAAATGATCATAAAATTACCAACATGAGAGGCACTTTAAAGAATAGTACTGGTTGCTCAAACTGTGGGCTTCACATACTCTGTCCATCCTGACCCCAATTAGCTGTTCGCTATCTCACCGGTCTCTCAAATCACTTCTGTTACCAAGCTCACCAAGACAAGTGCAACTGGGTATTCTGTTCTCTTAGCCCCCAATACTTGCCCTTTTTTAATTTCTCCTAATTCACAATTACCCATCTTTCCTCTCACAGCTCAAGTATTTTTATTTCAGAGAAGCCTTTTATTTTTTTATTATTTTTTAAAATTGATTTATCTTTACTATTGAGGATATTATAGATGGCCCTCATTGCCCTGCTTCACAGAGAAACCTTTTCTATCAACTCCCCAAATCCAATGGGTCATCAGTGATTTTTTTCTCTCCTTAATTAATTAGCATTCTCTAAACATTAGTAATAGTGAAACTTTTTATCATTCAGAATGTAAACCTTTATTTACTTTCATTTTAAAATTAAATTTATTGGGATAACATTGTATAAGATTTAGGTGTACAAATTTATAATATGTCACCTGTATATCTTATTCCATCACTATATATTTGACCCTTTTTACCCTGTATATCCTCCCCCCTAAACCCACTTACCCTCTGGTAACCACCATACTATTGTCTACTTCTATGAGTTTGTTTTGTCTGTTTATTTGTTGATTTCTGTTTTCTATTTGACATACAAATGAAATTATATGGTCCTTGTCCTTTTCCTTTTAACTTGTTTCACTTAGCATGATACTCTCAAGGTCCATCCATGTTGTCACAAATGGCAGTATTTCATCTTTTGATGAGCAGTGTATTTTTTTCTTTTTAGTGTGTATGTACCACATCCTCTTTATCCAATCATCCGTCGAATAACACCTAGGTTGGTCCCATGTCTTGGGTATTGTGAATAATGCTGCATTAAGCATAAAGTACATGCATGTATCTTTACAAAAAAGGGTTTTCCAAATTTTAGGTAGATACAGAAGAGGAATTTCTGGGTGATAAGGTAATCTATTCTTCATTTTTTAATGAACCTTCATATTATTTCCATAGAGGCTACATCAATTTTCATTCCCTCAAAGGTTCCCTTTTCTCCTCTACATCTTCTCAAAAACTTATTTCTTGTCTTACTGCTAATAGCCATTCTAACAGGTATGAGTTGGTATCTTATTGTGGTTTTGATTTGCATTTCCCCTATAAACAGTGAAGTTGAACATTTTTTCATAGGTCAGTTGACTATCTGTATGTCTTCTTGGGAACGTGTCTGTTCGGATTCTTTACCTACTTTTTAATTGAACTGTTTGTTTTCTTGATTTTGAGTTGTATGGGTTCTTTATATATATTGGATGCTAGAGGACAGGTGCACAACATTCATGCACTGGGGGGTCCCTCAGCATGGCCTGACCCTCTCGCAGTCTGGCACCCCTCAGGGGATGTCTGACTGCCAGCTTAGGGGTCCTTAGCACTGCTGTGGAGGCAGGAGAGGCTCCCACCACCATTACTGTGCTTGCCAGGTGTGAGCCCAGCTTCTGGCTGTGACCACCTGGGGATAGCTCCTGCATTGAGTGTCTTCCTCCTGGTAGTCAGTGCACTTCGTAGTGACCGGTCATTCTGCCATTCGGTCGATTTGCATATTAGCCTTTTGTTATATAGGACTAGAGGCCCAATGCATGAATTTCGTGCAAGAGTAGGCCTTCCTTCTCCCAGCTGCTGGCACCGGCTTCCCTCTGGCACCCGGGACCCCGGCTTCTCTCCGGCCGCCTACAGGCACTTGGGACCCAGGCTTCCCTCACAGCCCCGGCTTTGTCCAGAAGGTCGTCTGGAAGGACGTCCAGTCTAGCATATTACGCTTTTATTATTATAGATTTGCACCTTATCGGAAGTATTATTTGCAAATATCTTATTCCATTTGGCTTGTTGCCTTGTTATTTTCAAATATTTAAGTTGCCTTTTGATTTTTAGGATGATTTCATATATAAACACTTTGAATATTTATTAATAAAATATGTTAATTTTTTTCAGTTCATGCCACTGATTTGAATGCAACACATCTCCACTTGAGAGCATGTACAAATGAGCTCATGCCCTCACACATGCTTTCCATTTTATTATGATGGTAGTGTGCTTCTGTTTCCCCCTATTATCTACGTAGTCAATGTGCATCTTCCTCTTCTTGGAAGAATCCACTTGGCAGGAAGTCTCTGAAATAGGAAGCCATCAGGATCTTCATTAATTAGAAGTGCTGTGTTGTGATAAAAAAAAAAAAATAGACCTGTCGTGTTTACAATGATGACTGCCCAAGTTTAAGAGAAATACTAAAAATGATTACCATGTAAGACAGCTTTATTGTGATGTTAAGAACAGTAATTCACATTTATCACATGTCTAGTGTATATCACAGGAACTACACTAGAAAAATGTTATGCATCATATCATTTAATCACACATCTGTCCTACAATGTAAGGAATATTTAATGCTCTCATTGTGGAGGTGAAGTATCTGTAGCTGAGGGAGATTAAATAACTTCTTCAAGGTCACAGAGATGTAACATGGTAGACCAAGTTCTGTTCCAGGAAGTCTGACTCACATCCTATTTCTAAATCACAGCTGTATACTGTACTTTGGAACAGTTATATCTAAAAAATAATTGTAATGAAAGAATAGATTAATAATGTTAATAATAGCTATAACTTAGAAAGATCTTACTGTGATTAAAGGCATTTTATTACCTCTAAAAATGGTAATAGCAGAAAGCACATTTTTAGAAACACAATAAGGCACATAAGAGAGTTAGCTGTGACATCAATATAAAGCACCAGGTGACAAAACTAAGGTTGTTTAAGTTGAAAACACATGTTTTAATCACTAGTATGAAATGAAAGTAGTATGGAGATTATCAAAATAAGCACCTTAAATATCTTTAGTTATTTTGGAAGGCTGGTATGAAAGAAGAAATTGGTTTATGTCCATAGATTTCAATAAGTGAATTAGAACCAGCGAGTTGAAGATAAAAAGAGAAAGACTTCTGCTAAAGTAAAGAAAGTCTGCACAATTACATCATTTAAAATAAAATTGGGTAACCACGTAAATGAGTGAATGACTAGCATTGAAATGACTACCAGATCATGAACGATGCCCACACCATGGTGAAATCAAAAAGTGATGACTTAGCTGAGATGCCATTTGGCTGTTTACTGAATGTTGCCTTTTCCTCCTTTAGAATACACACCAGCTGCATGGAAGCTGAAAACCACACAGAAGCATCACAATTCCTCCTCCTGGGTCTCTCAGATGACCCTAAACTGCAGCCCCTCCTCTGTGGAGTGTTCCTGTGCATGTACCTGTTCACTGTGCTTGGAAACCTGCTCATCATTGTGGCCATCATCTATGACTCCCACCTGCACACAGCCATGTACTTCTTCCTCTCCAACCTGTCCTTTATTGAAATCTGTTTCACCTCCACCACGGTCCCAAAGATGCTGGTGAATGTCCAGGCACAGAGCAAAGACATCTCCTACATTGGGTGCCTCATTCAGGTGTATTTTGTTATGATATTTGCTGGAATGGACAGCTTCCTCCTGACTGTGATGGCCTATGACCGGTATGTGGCCATCTGTCAACCCCTGTACTACATGGTCATCATGAACCCACGCTTCTGTGGCATTCTGGTTCTGATATCTTGGCTCATCATTTTCTGGGTCTCCCTGCTTCACATTCTACTGATGAGGCGGCTGACCTTCTGTGTCGGCACTGAAATCCCACATTTCTTCTGTGAACTGACTCAGATCCTCAAGGTGGCCTGCTCTGACACCCTCATCAATAACATCGTCTTGAATGTGGCTACTGCCCTCCTGGGTGTGATTCCTCTCACTGGAATTCTGTTTTCTTACTCTAGGATTGTCGCCTCTGTGATGAAAATATCCTCTGCAGGAGGGAAATATAAAGCATTTTCCACCTGTGGGTCTCACCTGGCCGTGGTCTCCTTGTTCTATGTGACAGGCCTGGGGGTCCACCTCAGTTCTGCTCTGACCCATTCGTCCCTACAGAACTCAATTGCCTCAGTCATGTACACTGTGGTCACGCCCATGCTGAACCCCTTCATCTACAGCCTGAGGAACAAGGATATGAAGGGGGCTCTGAGAAGGCTCTTCAACCTAGTAACATCTTGTCTGTGATGGATCTCTGGCCTCAGACATAAAGGCACATAGTGGGGGCCCAAAGGTAAATGTTGCAAATTTAAATATCTGGTTCTTTTTCACTCCTGAAAGACAGTCTTGATTTCTTCTATTTCCAAGGCATAGAGGGGGTTTTTATGCTTAATCCCTTTACCTTTTTAACCCAGCCCCCCTGGCTGTGACCACCTGGGGATAGCTCCTGCATTGAGTGTCTTCCTCCTGGTAGTCAGTGCATTTTTGCTTTTGTTTGCTTATATCAATTGCTGACTTAGTTTCCCAAAAAGTTGTCCTTATATGTTGCTGATCTTCACCTTAATTGGGTTGTATCCTTTTTTTTTTCCAGATGAAATTATATGAAAATCATACAGTAATCAGAACAGCATGATAATGCTATCAGGACTCTTCTTGTTTCTTCACATGAATGATTTAATTTCATCTTAAAAACATTTTTGAGATATTTTCTCTCATTCACTTTACTTTTGAAAAGAAGTGACGGAATTGAAGTTGGACTACACCTTGGAAAGCTGACTTTACTATCCTACCTTTCACAGGAACAGTGATGTGATTTTCAAGTTCAGAGTAGGAATCTAGATTTGAAAGATGGTTTCTTCAGATAACATAGAGGAATTTACTACCTCACTAACTGAGAAGTGTCATCTTTTGTGTGATCCTTCCTTCCTTTCCTTTTTTTATTTGACTTATATTTCCCATTATTGCAATGTTGATATGCACCTTCTAAGATCCAAAGCCATGTAATAATGAGTACAATAAAATAAGAGTTATTTTCACAAGTGATTTAGTTATTTTCTGGCACTCTGTAGGGATGCCTCAGGAAGAATAGTTACACATTTGTGGAACATGTTTAGAACCTAATTCTTTTGGTGGGGAAGAATGATGACAGAATTGATTCTGCAAGGAAGCATGGAGGAGTACATGCTGTTAAGATTCCTCCCATGTTCCCTGACATCCTCTCACAATTTTCATTGCATAACTGCCAACATCCAGTACCAGCTGGAACAAACTTTACCCAATATGTACCAGCTGGAACAAACTTTACCCAATATGTGGTAGCAGACAGGGAATTATGTCCTATCAGAGACCGCTCTTGATGGAGAGGTGTAGAGGATAGCATGTCTTTCCTCCTTTATCTGGAATAATGCTGAGGTTTATGTTTTTTACCATTTACCAGAATTTCCCCTGGAGATAAAATCTCTGTTTATTTACAATGGTAGGTGCCATAATGCAAGCTTCATTTGATATATTTTCTTTTGTGTATCAGTTCCCCTCTCTCCCATCCATGTCCCTGCCCCTTCCAATAAAGTGTTTAAACGTAAATCCTGGGCTCAGCATCTGCTTTTGTGTGAACAAAAATTAACACAGGGGATAATAATGTGTTGTATTAATATAATATCATGAAATTAATTAGGGACTTTGGAGAAAAAATTGAAACTAATTATTTGGGACATAGTAAGGACTGTACAATTACTCAAAAAACAATTTTTTTGTAGAGGAAAGACTTATTTGATGTGACTTCAATTAATTTCGTTTTCATTTAGTTTAATTCAATGTGTGTTTATTGTCTACTCTACAAACTGAGGAAGAAACCAGAGAGATACAAATGATTGCACTGTGGAGTGATGAGCATAAGAATGTTGCTGTATAGCAGATCCTGTTCAAACAAAAGTTTTCAACTCATATTGAGTAATTCCAGGAAAAAGTCTTTAAAATTTACGTTTTTAATATATTTATTGAGATACTAGAAGCCTGGTGCACAAAATTCGTACATGGGTAGAGTCCCTGGGCATGGCCGGCGATCAGGGCCAATTGGGGCCTTCCGGCTGCCAGCCGGGGCCTTCCTTCCAGCTGCTGGCCGGGGCCTTCCTTCATTCTGCACTGCCCCCTGGTGGTCAATGCATGTCATAGTGAGCGATCAAACTCTGGGTCTCCTGGTCGAACTCCTGAGGGGACACTTTATATATATAGATAGTTTACACACATAAAATTCACCCATTGATGTAGTAAGTTCAATTATCTTAGTAAATTTCTATTGTTATGTATTTGTTAACAAAACCCAGTTTTACAGTATTTTTATCACCTCAAAAATATCTTTTTGCCCATTTACAGTTAATTACCACTTTCACTTTAGCCTAGGAAACCCCTGATCACTTTCTGTCTTTATACATTTGTGTTTTCTACATATTTTATATAAATTGAATCATAAAATATGTGGCCTTTTGTATCTGGCTTCTATTTGGTGAATGTTTTATAGGGTTATTCATATAGAAGTATGTATCAATATTTTATTCCTTTTAATTGCAGAATAGGCTTCTATTAAATGTTTATACCACATTTTGCTTATCCACTTACAGCTGATGAACATTTAGATATTTCCAGTTTGGAGATGTTAATAATGCTGCTGTGAACATTTGTGCACATTTCATTGTACTGATACATATTTTCATTTGTTTTGGGTAGATACCTTGGAGTGCAATTACTAGGTCATATGGTAAATTTATGTCTAACTTTTTAAAAAATATTTTATTGATTTTTACAGAGAGGAAGGGAGAGGGATAGAGAGTTAAAAATATTGATGAGAGAAAAACATCAAGCAGCTGCCTCCTGCACACCCCCTACTGGGTATGTGCCAGCAACCAAGGTACATGCCCTTGACTGGTATCGAACCTGGGACCCTTCAGTCCGCAGGCCGAAGCTCTACCCATTGAGCCAAACCAAACTTAGCAGTTTCTTTAAAAGTTATGTCTAACTTTTAAAGAAACTGCCAAGGTTCTTTTTAAAGTAGTTACACCAGTTTTACATTCCTGCAGATTCCCACTGTCCGCACCCAGGCTCGAATTCAGGTAGCGGAGATGCCCTGTGTGGGCGTGGGGTCTGGTCTCGCCCTTGCGGCACTGCGGGGAAACAGCCTCCCAGTGTCTGCGTGCTCAGCCCAAATTCAGGTAGTGAAGCCTGTGTGGGCAGGAGGCCTGCTTGTGTGGGGCGGGTCTAGCAGTTTCTATGGTGCTGCAGCGAGCCTGTGGGGAGGGGGATGGGCTCTGTGACTCACAGAAACCTGCGGCCAGGGTGTCCGGATTCTTGGTGTCTGTGGGTCTGCAGCTGTGGTCGCAGGTCTTTGTCCCTAGTGGCTGTCGGTCCCGGTTTGCATCTGAGACCAGATTGGGTGGTGGTGAGGCTAGGATCCTAGTCTCAAGCAGTTCTGTTTTTCAAGATGGCGTGGTCTCTGTGCCTGCACTGGCTGCCCCCAGAGTGTCCCTGGTGGCAGTGGGGTGTCGCCGTCTAAGACTGCCCCATTTAGCAGCCCCTTGGAAGACCCGCAGGATCTAACTGTCCCTAGCTCACACACGCTCACACGCTCACACACGCACACACACGCACACACGTCCACACACTTCTCTCACACTTTCTCCACTTCTCTCACACTCTCTCCCTCCCTACCTTCTTGCCGGTCGCCATCTTTTCCCCCATTAATAAATTTTGTATGGTTTACATGTTAAAATGATAATATCTGGATACACTGGGTTAAATAAAATAAAATATATTATTAAAATTAGAAGAAAATCCTTTTAAATTTTTTCATTGCAGTTAACATTCAATATTATTGTATATTAGTTTCAGGTGTACAACATAATGATTAGACATTTATATAATTTATGAAGTGATTCATCTGATTAGTTTAGTACCAACCTGGTATCAGACATAATTATTACAATATTATTGACTGTAATCTATATGCTGTTCTTTACATTCCCATATTTTGTAACTACCAATTTGTACTTCTTAATTCCATCACCTTTTTCACCCAGCTCCCAAAGCCCCCCTCTCATGCTGCAACCCTCAGTTTGTTCTCCGCATCTATGAGTCTGTTTCTGCTTTGTCTGTTTCTTAACTTTGTTCTTTAGATTCCACATGTAAGTGAAATCATATGGTATTTGTCTTTCTCTGACTGAATTATTTTAGCATAATACCCTCTAGGTCCACGCATGTTGTCACAAATGTTAAGGTTTCATCCTTCTCCATGATAATGGTGGCTTCATAGAGTTTATGTACTTTGTGCTTAAATTAGGTTTGAATTAATCTCTTTATTGTGCCACAGAGGTGCAATATATGTTTCTCTTTAAAACTCTGAGGATTTATATCTTGGTTGAGACAAAGGCATGGGCAACAGTAGTAGCAGACATATTTAAAGGTCCTGGTGAGCCTTCTGTTTTTAGGAGTTCAGACCTCAACATGGCACATAATGTCTGCATTTCTCTCCTCTCCCATCCTGACCCTCCCCATCTCTTCTTTTTCTTTTCACTTTCCATCCCATTTAAATGTTTCCCTCCACGTCCCGCGTGGTTCAGGGTTTGGGATCTGGAAGAAGAGCCGCACACAAATGAAAGAGAAAAGACAAGAGATAATTTGGGAATATTGGGGGCCAGGCGGGTAAGTCCAACTCAGGAGGAAGGACTTTCCACCGGTGCTCAGGCCGTACCAACCTTTTATAGTCAGAGGTAAACAGGGCAGTGGTCACCATAGTTACACAGTTCTTGTGAGTTTCACTTGTTTTGATCTTAAGGGCACTTCCTGCACTTCCCTCAGCCCATTAGCTTCCCAGATAAGATCTAGGGAGTGTTATAAGGTCAAGCCTAATTATGCTAAGAGGACTGTGCCCTCTAAGCTGGGACTTGTTTGTGACTTTGCCAACAGGTCAGTCCGAGGCTTAATCCTATATCAGTTCCCCACACCATCCTTCCCCTTCCCTTCCCTTCCCTTCCCTTCCCTTCCCTTCCCTTCCCTTCCCTTCCCTTCCCTTCCCTTCCCTTCCCTTCCCCCCTCTCTCTCTCCAAATGATGAATCTTTTGTGATCAACTACCCAATGGACCTATGTTGTATACAGGTTATACCTTTCCTCCTGAGCACACATAGAGGCCAATGCCTGGTTGAAGAACACAACCAATCAGGTTAAGAATCTTTCCCCTGAACCCAAAGTCATTCATATCTTCATTGTAAGACATACAGATAGATCTGGGCCAAGAAACAGGATCCAGAGGCACGTTAACGAAAGATCCAATTCCATCCTCTTGTCTCTAATAGCCAAGTAATTATTGAAACTTCTAAGTTGGGTCAGTTATATCTATAAGTAAGAATTGGAAAGTCTCAACAAATGCAGCACTGTCTAAAATGCAAGCCTGCAGCAGGCAGTAACTCCAAGTGCATGGTTACCATCATCAGTTAAGCCAGTGCAAGACTCCGGTGGTGGTGGCCATTGTCTCCATACCTCACTCACAGCATCAAGTGCAGTGGGCATGCTGCAGAGATAGGATGAACTCCCACCCAAAATTTGGTTTGGTTTTAATCCTCATATGACGATCTCCATGACTGTAGTGAGCATAGCAGTCCTTCTAAACTGGTCTCAAATGGCATGAGATGTCAAGGAAAGTGGCTTTTAAAAATTCTGGTTAGAATGTGGGTTCAGAGTAAGAGTTCCTGCTTATGCAAATCTCTCCTTGTTGTCAAAAAAGGGAGGATCCAGCCTTTATAAAATTGAGGTATGATTGATATATAACATTATGCTAGTTTCAGGTGTACAACATAATGAGTAAATATTTGTATATATTGGAAAATAATCACCACAGCAAGTCTAGTTCACATCTGTTGTGGGGAGCTGATATAGGGCTAAGCCTCAGATTGACCTGTGGGCAAAGTCACAAACAATTCCCAGCTTAGAGGGCACAGTCCTCTTAGCATAATTAGGCTTGACCTTATGAGGCTCTCTAGATCTTATCTGGGAAGCTAATGGGCTGAGGGAAGTGCAGGAAGTGGCCAAAACAAGTGAAACTCACAAGAACTGTGTAACTATGGAAACCACTACCTTGTTTACCTCTCACTATAAAATAAAGGCTCAGCTTGCCTTGGCATCTCTCTCTGTGGCCTCAGCCAGGCACAGGGAAAATCCACGGAGACTAAGGAAAGCTAGAGAGTTCTGAACACTGTCTCCGTGTAAAACATTCTTCGCCGACTCCGTCCACACCTTTGGAAACCCCTGGACCCCCGGGGCTGGACCCCAGCAATCTGTCACCATACATAGTTATAAAATTTCTTTGTCATGAGAACTTTTAAGATCTATTCTCTGTAACTTTCAAATATGAAATATAGCACTTTTAAATTTTATCATTGAATTTTATTTGCAAATATATTTATAACATGAACAGTATAGAAAAGCTCAATAATGTTATTCTAATTTACAAAGTGGACTATTGGAATTAAGCTAGATTATGTACATTTTTTTTCTCTAAACAA